CTCAGCGCTCTCCTCTCTGGGTGTGCTGTAGGAAGGACACCCACTAGCACTCAGCACTCTTCTCTCTGGGTGTGCTCTACAAAACACCCACGAGTGCTCATCACTCTCATCTCTGGGTATACTCTAGGAAGGACACACACCAGCACTCAGTGCTCTTGTCTCTGGGTGTACTCTAGGAAGGACACCCACATGCGCTCATGGCTCTCCTCTCTGGGTGTACCCAAGAAGGACACACACCAGCACTCAATGCTCTCCTCTCTGGGTGTGCTGTAGGAAGGATACCACCAGTGCTAAGCACTCTCCTCTCTGGGTATACTCTAGGATGGACACCCACCAGCGCTCATCGCTCTCCTCTCTGGGTGTACTCTAGGAAGGACAACACCAGTGCTAAGCGCTCTTCCCTCTGAGGGTACCCTAAGAAGGATACCCACCAGCACTCAGTGCTCTCCTCTCTGGGTGCACTCTAGGAAGGACACCCAAGAGCTCAACGCTCTCCTCTCTGGATGTACTTAGGAAGGACACCCACCAGCACTCAATCTTTCATTTCTGGGTGTACTCTAGGAAGGACACCACCAGTGCTCAGTGCTCTCATCTCTTGGTGTACTCTAGGAAGGATACCCACTAGTGCTCAGCGCTCTCATCTCTGGGTGTACTCTAGGAAGGACACCTACCAGCACTCAGCGCTCTCGTCTCTGGGTGTACTCTAGGAAGGACACCACCAGTGCTCAACACTGTCCTCTCTGAGTGTACTCTAGGAAGGACACCCACCTGCACTCTTTGCTCTCCTCTCTGGGTGTACTCTAGGAAGGACAACAGCAGCGCTCAGTGCTGCTCTCCTCTCTGGTGTACCCAAGGAAGGACCCACCAGCGCTCAATTGTCTCCTCTCTGGGTGTACCCAAGAAGGACACTCGCGCTCAACGCTCTCCTCTCTGGGTGTGCTGTAAGAAGGACACCACCAGCGCTAAGCACTCTCCTGTCTTGGTGTACTCTAGGAAGGACACCCACCAGCGCTCATCGCTCTCCTCTCTGGGTGTACTCTAGGAAGGACACCAGCAGTGCTAAGCGCTCTACTCTGAGTGTACTCTAGGAAGGACAACACCAGCGCTCAGCACTCTCCTTTCTGGGTGTACTCTAGGAAGGACAACACCAGTGCTAAGCACTCTCCTCTCTGAGGGTACCCTAGGAAGGAAACCCACCAGCGCTCAGCGCTCTCCTCTCTGGGTGTACTCTAGGAAGCACACCCACCAGTACTCAGTGCTCTCCTCTTTGGGTGTACCCCTAGAAGGACACCCACCAGCGCTCAGCGCTCTCCTCTCTGGTTGTACCCTAGGTAGAACACCCACCAGCACTCAGTGCTGTCCTCTGTGGTTGTACTCTATGAAGGACACCAGCAGTGCTCAGTGCCACTCTCCTCTCTGGGTGTACTCTAGG